TATGGAGTCTCGACCCGCTTCTTCCCAGCAAACCCAACCTCAATATCTGTAGAACCGACGTAGGCCTGTCCGCCCTGACTAAAGGGGTCGTAGATTTGCACCGAAACGGTATCCGTGAAAGCGACGCCAGCCCATGTCCGCTGAGGATCAGACATGCTGATTTGTCCCGGGGGGAACCCATCAAGAGGGCGCGCGGAGAAGACGTAAAGACCGTTGATGAGTAGGAGGAGATCGTGTCCATCGCGGGAGGGTGGGAATTCCTGGGCGGAAACAGCAACCCTAGATACAGTTAGAAGAAGGGCAAGCAAGGCAGCGACCACATTTGAACGTACAAATTCCCAAATGTATACGTATTATCCGGGCTCTTGGCAGGACGCAGCGTCCATGATCGGCCTGAGCTCACGGGCTTCTCTCCAACGGGGTTTCTCGGAGGCATTTGCGGCGGTCTTCCGGTATATTGGGGTGGCGCTCCGTATCCTGCGGGACTAAATATCAAGCGTATCAACCACTGTTGTTTCATTATGGTGCCGTGTAAGGTCCATACCTTGCGCCCGACCTGGAGGGGTAGGGGGCTTGTCCTTGAGCTGGGTTGGTATAACCGTCGCCTCGAGAGGGGCGGGAGCCGAAAGGATTAGGGACGGAAGGATAGTTGTTGCGATTGAACATCTTCAGACCAGATAGAGGAGGACTTCGAGTTGCAAACTAAAAGGGAACTGCAATGAGTTCCCAGACGAGGACAGAGTATGTATAGGCTGGTTGATTGTGGCGAAGCGATGCTGCCAGCAGCTGTTGCCTTGAGGCCAAGTACTCAAATGATCTGATTATGACTAGATAGTATATGAGTACACAAGCAAAAAATGATGTTGAGCATAGGCAACTGAATATATGGAATAGAAGTGAGGTAGAGGATGGAAAGAAAGAAGAATAATGAGAGGTGGCGGTCTCACATTGGATGGGGGGGAAGCTCCAGCGCCCGCGACACATGGACCGTAGGTAAGGTACCCAGGGTTCCCGCCCCATCGGTCGGTCCGCCCACCTCCGTTCTTCGCCGACCGGTCTGGATGACCCTGCTTCTCGTTCACGCATCCCGGAGGGAGAATTGACGCCTCCATCCCCACCAGTTCATTACATTTCCATACCTTAAAAGATGCCTCTGTCAGTATACCATCTTCCCCCTCTCTTGGCATGCTTGAGTACTTACAGTGTTCTTTTGCAGTCACCTCCTCGGCAAGAAGTCATGGAACGTCTACAACCCAGCGAACATCGAGCGCGTTCGGCGCGACGAGGCTCAGGCCAAAGCCCAAGAAGAGGAGGAAGAGCGTCTCATGCAAGAAGCTGATGCTGAACGAAGGATTCAGATACTCCGCGGCGAACGGCCTTCAACACCACCTCCACCGCCCCCAGCGCCGTCCGCCCGCCCACAAGAAAGGAAAAGTCATACAGAGGATGCAGGCCGATTTAGAAAGAGAAGGCGCTTAGCTGGAGAGGATGATACAGATAGAGACATTAGATTTGCACAGGAAGACGCACAGTTGGCGCTGGATAGACGGGCGCAACAAGCCGCTGCTCGGTCAAGCGATGCGCCACTTCATGATAGTACTGGTCACATTGATCTGTTCCCTTCAGAGGCGAAGCGCAAGCCCGTGGAAAAGAATGCAGAGGCAGAAAAGGAGGCGAAAGACAAGAAACGAGAGCTCGAAGACCAATACACGATGCGATTCTCTAATGCGGCTGGGTTTCGACAATCTGTTGGCCAAGACCCTTGGTATTCGTCTTCGCAACGCGAGGGCGCAGCTGCTGAATCCATGCCAAGCAAGGACGTCTGGGGAAATGAGGACCCATTAAGGAGAGAAAGGGAGAAGGCCCGGATGGATGCAAATGACCCGCTCGCGGCGATGAGAAAAGGCGTCCGCCAATTGAAGACGGTTGAGCAGGAGAGGAAAAGGTGGAATGAGGAACGAAGTCGAGAGCTGGAAGCTCTGAAGGCTTCGGAGAAGCATCGATCTTCTCATCGCAGTAGGAGGTCGCCATCGCAGGATAGCATCGAAGGCTTCAGACTTGATGCTTCCCCGGATAGGCGTCGAGATGACAAGGATGGAAGATCCCGTCGACACCATCGGCATCGTAGAGATAGAAGTCGAGATCGTTCGCATCGACGAACCTCCCAATCTGATTCGCGGTCTCATCGTTCTCATCATGATCGACACCACCGACACAGGGATTCCAGACGCCATGACGAAGACTCCCGATCGAGACGTTGAAGTGTTCAACTTCGCACTCACACCAGAACCTCATGGGCAGCTTACAACTCTAGGCTCTCTTGTAAACGATCTAAAGCTACATTCGTTGAGTCGTACTCTTAGTCGATGGAAGCAGGTAGCGAGCCTTGTCTATGACTAACGCATTTTGAAGACTATCTATCTACTTAAACTGGAGATGAGTCTGCAACGAGACCTGCAACTTATTGCAGACCCCACTTCTGGGAACCCTTTTCGCCATCCTGGCTATCCCATTCGATGGTAATGTCCAAGGAGCGGGACTTCTCCGACTTCTTTTGATAGCCGACCTTTCCAGTGATGGTCTGGCCCTTCTTCAAGGCGACGCCCTTTCTCTTCTCATGGTCGATGAGAAGGATACTCTGCTGCCAGTGCGTCTCTTTACCATAAGGTCCCGTGGTGAAAGCGACGATGCCCTTCTTCTGCATTTCGGACGGAACAGCGTCGTCGGCGATGGGTGAGTCCCTCGAGGGCATGAAAAAGATATCGAACCAGATAGCAAAACCGTCCAGCGCGTCAATGTCCTCGGTAAGAGTGACCTGGAATTCCTTCAGGAACGACAGCTCCTCAACAGTGATGGTATGTAGAGGAAGGGGAAGGAAAACGGCAGATTGGCCAGGAATCGATGATGGCTCCACGACACGAACCAGAGCCTCATCATAGATACCAGTCAGCATGCTGCTCATATTGAAGCCGTACACACTCTTCCAGAATGAGATGTGGTTTGCGATGAAGTCAGGGTCGGCGAAGGGAGCGACGCGGAGTGTAGCGTGCGAGGGAACCATGAGTCCTCCGGGGGCGAGATACCGGTCCCGAGCGTAAATGACCGAGTCAAACATGGCCTCGAACAGTAGACCGTAGCCCATCCATTCGGAGATAATGATGTCAACTTGCTGAACTGGCAGCGTGACTTCCTCAATTTTACCGCGAATGCACCTAGAAGTTTAGGTATCAGCTGTCAGTCACGCAACTAGAAAAACCAAGATATTGCGAAACATACGTTATGACATCACCAAATCCATTCTCGTAGATAATTTCCTTGGCTCTATCGATAATGTTGGAATTATCGACCGAAATAACCTTCTTCGCACCGGCCTTCGCGCAGAACATGGACAAAATGCCAGTTCCGCAGCCAACATCGAGGACAACCTTATCCTTGAACACGTGCTTGTTCTCATATACGAAGTCGCGGTAGGAATCAGTGCGGATGGTGTCCTTGAGCATGGACTCGTGGATTCCTAAATAAGAAGCGCGTTAGTATCAGAAACCGAGCAGCCCTGGGATCAAAGACATCATACCGTTGTAGGCGTAGGAAGTGAAGTAGTCCGCGTCAATTTCTTCGACCCTGTTAGCGGCCTTTTGTGCGGACGCATCACTGAGGGTAGAGCCGAGCTTCTCATCCTCCTTGGTCAATTGCTCCTCCATAGACTTCTGCACGGCCTCTCTATACTCGGAGAACTGGGTTTGAAGGCGTTCTAGGTCTTCTTGGAGTTCGATCACGCGTCTTTCAGCGTCCGAACCACCAGTTGTCTCGGGGGTTTCGTCCTCAATGTCATCCAGACTGTAGAGAAGGGCATCATCCTCCAGCACGGGCTTCAGGTAAGCATCGTCCTCGAATTTGTCGGCGGAAGAGACGTCGGGAGACATGTTGCCTTCTTTCACTTGAGTTCGGACATAGTTGACCAACTTGATAGTACCCAGGAAGTCCAGGTCTGATAGTGAAACACAAGTAGAGATAGGTTAGCCATAGTTCATATCAAATGTATCGACCAACAGACAATCGTCCGGGCTTGAGCAGCAGAGGGAAATAGCAAATGCTAAATCCAAGTACAATTGACTACACACCGAGCTCCTTTTGAATCCTCCGCAGGTCAAAGTTGTACTTGTCTTTGGTCTCCTTGAGCATGGCCCGCACGTCGGGGTAAACCTTCTCGGAGAACAAGCCCACGACGGGCTGGGTATCATCATCGGGCTCGACATCTTCCCATCCTTCCTCGTTGCTTACATCCGAGCTATCGGAAGAGACGGAGCGTGCATCATCGTCTCTGGGCAGACGCTCAGAGGGGAGAGCGGAAGCAGACATGGCGCAACTGCGGGGAAACAGAACCAATTGAGACGGTTATTTTTCGTAGGAGCGGGACTGGTATATTATGGTATCTAAGCGACAATCAAATGAAATTGAACCAAAGACACTGTCACTAGATATGAAGAAGAAGAGAAGAGAATGTCGGAGCTAATGGTTGCTGCCGACAGAATTCGATATGGAAGTACCTGAGGAGGAGGGGTTGAGTCGAGATTCCCGCCGGAGAAAAAAAGTCAAATAATCGAGGGGAAAAAAAATTAGAAAATTCTCGGAAAAGGCAGCCCCGCCGGCTTGGGACTGGATTGGGTTGATTTGTTCCAAATGTTTATCCACCTGACGGGGCCCAGAACTGCGATAACAGCCTGAGGCCATCGGCTTCCCCGCCAACAACAGCGTCACCGCTTCCCTCACTGCTTTCCAGACCAAACGATCCCCTCTTGCTCGCCTGCCAGATAACCCCCCACCCCTTGAAGACCACTGTTATTACCGTTGCAGCTGCAGAGAGTCTGTGACACTCTGTTTGTTTGACCTGCTTTCCCTTACATGTCCCTATAGCTAGTGTGCTGCCCGCGAGGAGCGACTATCCCCTCCGCCTTCACTCCCTCCCTGTTTTGGTTTTGTTACCAATACAAACAACAACCATGGCCTTCTTCTTCAACCGCGGTCGGTCCCGCCAACCTTCGGACATTGCCAGATCAATCAAGGAACTCTTGGTGAAGCTTCGAGAATCGCCAACCACTGCCAAGGTTCGTCGCTCCGATCTGTTATGTTTACATTTGCGGCTGCCGATAAGCAACTTTCAAAACAAAGGAGTACTGACCTCATTCCGTACTCCAATAGGTCGAAGATGATCTGGCGAAGCAACTATCTCAGATGAAACTCATTGTCCAGGGTACTCAAGGTATGTCTCATGCATGAACCCTTACCAATGGCCCTTTTTCTCCCAGAACAAGTGCAGGGGCGCCAGATGGGCTTCGGAATGGACGTCGGCTGATGTGAGCTTACCTTTTAGAAATTGAGGTGTCCCCCGAACAAGTCCAAGCATTAGTGCAGGCTACCCTGCAGGAAGATTTGCTCTACGAACTAGCCCAAGGGCTTCATCGTCTGCCCTTCGAAGCTCGAAAAGACACACAAACTATCTTCTCTCACATCCTCCGTTTCAAACCCGTCAATGCAAGCCATGCAGACCCTCCTGTCATTTCCTACATTGTCCACAAACGACCCGAAATCATCATCGAACTGTGCAAGGGCTACGAGCATAGCCAAAGTGCCATGCCATGCGGCACTATCTTGCGAGAAGCGCTGAAGTTTGATGTTATCGCGGCAATCATCCTCTATGACCAGTCGGAAGAGGGGGAGCCAGCGATTCGACTGACGGAGGTGCAGCCGGGCGTGCCTCAAGAGGGCAATGGCATATTCTGGAGGTTCTTTTACTGGATCGACCGAGGGAGCTTCGAACTGAGTGCTGACTCTTTCACAACGTTTAGGGTGAGCGCTTGTGTCGGCTTTTGACACCATGCCGTCCCGGAAGCTAACTGATGTGCAGGAGATCTTGACCCGCCATAAATCCATCGTTACGGGCTATCTGGCCACGAACTTTGACCTCTTCTTCGCCAAATTCAACGAGGTACTTGTACAGTCCAGCTCGTATGTCACTAAACGACAAAGCATCAAGCTACTAGGAGAGATCCTTCTGGACCGAACCAACTACAATGTGATGATGGCCTATGTGGAGCGTGGGGAGAATCTCAAGCTGTGTATGAAACTGCTGCGGGACGACCGAAAGATGGTCCAGTATGAGGGCTTCCACGTGTTCAAGGTATGTGGGCAACTTCTAGCTTGGTCCGCTGCAAGGACCCAGGCCACTGACCGTTATTACTTTACAGGTGTTTGTTGCGAACCCCAATAAATCGGTTGCGGTGCAGCGGATCCTGATCAACAACCGTGATCGGCTGTTGAAATTCTTACCGAGGTTCCTAGAGGACCGGACGGACGACGATCAATTTACGGATGAGAAGAGTTTCCTGGTGCGCCAGATTGAGCTTCTTCCCAAGGAGCCGATTGAGCCAGCACGGTCCGCGCGCGAAGCGTCTCGCTCCGGCATCAACACGGCAGCAGTGGCCTGAAGGCCTTGTGAATGAAGAATTAAGCTGCGACCATTGGCAGGGGAACGGCCAATCTATCGATCCTCCCGTGCCAATATGCTTTTTACCCCTGCTTTTCCTTTGTCGACCAAGTGCGGGTCTGCGTCGGAGGGCCGTGTGCACTGGGGGCACGCTAGGCCGCGGTGCCGTTTGTTTGCATTGAAGGCAAGCTGGTTTCTAGCCTTCTCGGAGTTTTACAGTGGGTTGTCACAATCTAAAGGGAAAGAAAGGGGACAAGAATTAGGGTTTGAATTTTTTTTTTAATTCTGAAAAAAAAAAAAAAAAAAAAAAAACCTGAAAGCCGGCCGCAGGAGAAGGGCAGAAAGAAGAAGTGCACGAGAATAAAGAATCGGCCCTAAAGGGCAGTAGTCCTTGCATGTAAGTAACGCCGGATGTAGATAAAGTCAGTAGGCAAATCATGGAAGTGGATCAGAGTAGTGTTTACGGGATAGTACTAGTAGTAGATACTTCTGTAGAGAACCTGGAAATAAAAACCGGGAACTGTAAGATCATCATCCATGCATATAATATTGTAGGATTGCAGTAGACAAAGGACGGAGAATTTCACACAGACTTGCTTGAATTCTTCACCTGAGCGAACCCCCCCTCTCTGTCAAGGGGGAGGGAAGCGAAGCCACTGCTAGTAGTTAGTGTACTTTCTAGTAGGGAAAAAATAGTGAGAGACTTGACGTTTCCCCTTTCCTCGGCCGGGTCAGTATCATCCACTCCTGCTGTCTATCTCGCAACCTAAAAGATTAGTAGTTCTACTAGGAGTAGGGAGGAAGCCGACGCTATCCCCTACCTAGCCGAGAGAATTAAAGGGTAAAAGATAAATAAGAAAAATTACAAGCCCAAAAATTTCCAAACCGCAAAAGGAGGAGAAAGAAAAGCAAATAGGCACGAAAGTTTGTAGATTGTAGATAGTAGGAATGAAACTCTATCAGAAGGAAGTAATTGCTTCTCTCATGATAGGCGAGGGAGGGGGAGGAGTAAGAGAAGAGCCCCAATTTCCAGTTTCATTCTTGGTGGTTTGTGCGCAAAACGAGGGGGAGGAGGAGGAAGAAGAAGAAGAAGAAGAAGATCAACCCGTCAAACAGTCAAATCCGTGGACTAGTCAGTAGTAGCACACTAGTAGTTTTGAACTCCTGGAGTAATAATAAAGCCGGGCCAGCAAACAAACCGTTACGTTGCCTGTTGGGCGTGGGATGAATTATGCTGCTTCCCCCTCCAAATCCCACGATCGCATAGGATGGTAGTAAGTAAAGATAGGAGGAAATGATAATAATAACAGAGAATAAATCTCCCCCTCTCTCCCACTTCAGTTCCTGTACCAATGGATTGAATGGAGTCACTTGCTAGATAGACTAGATACTAGCAGTGTATCCATTTCTATTATTATCAAAAATCTGGAAAGTCCCAACGTAAAATTAACCGTGTGAAGATCCACTGCTGCGTGGCCCTCCCGAAGAATTAAATGGTACTAAATTAATTATAATATAGTGGATCGCAGGCCCCCCTTCGTGATCCTTGCCTTTGGAGTTTGGTTGAAGACAAGAAGGAGACGTTATTGTCGTCGTCGTCCTCCTCCTCGTTCTTGAATTTTTAGTATAATTATTTTTTCTCTTTCGTCTTTTTGGTTCAGAAACGGGAATTTTCAAGAGGAGGTAAATCAATTTTCAGGGCTGACTCTTGGTAGTCTATTACTACTACTACTACTACTACTACTACTATTTCTACTGTTCATGAACAACCACCACCACAACAACTACTCCTACTCCTACTCCTACTCCTACTCCTACTGCTACTACTCCAAGTAGACACTCCTTTCGACCAATACAAAATCAACGGGAGGGTGAGATTCTCCATTCCACTTTCCGCTTCCTCATTCTCCAATTCTCGTTGCGAGAAAAAGAAAGATACACCTCATTGTGACCACATTCCTTGAATTCTCTTCTTTTTTTCTCTCCTTCCAACTCTCTCACCCATCGTCTTTTCTCCGACCATCCTACCATATTTTTGTTTTTCTTTTTTACTTTTCATGATTCTTGCTTTTTCATCATTATTATTTGCAAGCTATCACCTTTGCCAAGCCTGGCTCTGACTGACTGACGCTCTCTTACTCACTTCTATTTTATTTTATTTTATTTTATTTTATTTTATTTTATTTTTTATTTTTTTTTTTTGCCGCGGTCCAGCCATTCTTGCTTCCCTCCTCCGTCTTTCCCTTTTGCTCGTCCGCCTTCGTTCCTCGCAACCATTTTGGGGGCCATGGTTCGCTGCGCAAGAGACCTCTTCCCTCCAGTGTCGTTCATTTTCCGTCGTGTGACCGTTTAATCTTAATCCTAATAATTTTCAAATCTTAATCAATCGCAATCCGTGACCCTTTTTTTCGTGCCAGAATCCCAGTTCTCACATCCGTTCCTTTGTGGCTACAGTCCTGCTACGCTCCCCGCCTCCCTCCCTGTCCCTCCCTCCTTCGCTCGCGCCCTCGCCCCCCCTTGGTTAAACCGGCGTGCACCACCGTCTCGTCCGGCTCGTCCAGAAGGCTCAAAAGCCCTGCGCAGCTCCGTCCAGAAAGTATTCCACCTCCCTCGAGTTAAGGCGCAAGCGATGCCAGGATAATGGTAGAAACGCGATCCGCTTCTGTCCCTGCTGTCGTGATGTCCGACTCCGCTTCAACCATCCAGACCGTTCCCTACGACGACACCATCGCCGCCACGGCCCCTATCGCCGTTCGCTCCGCCTCATACCCGACCCCAGTGGATTGTACTTCGTGCTCGGAGGAAACATCGCATAGCGCATCGTCCGGTAGTGCTTGGGATCAGTCGGGGTCCGCGCCGTCGCAACAAAATGCCAAATCGCGGCGGAACAGGTTCACTGCCTTACCAGAGGCTGGGGCCTCGACCGTGAGCTTGCGCTCACTGCGCAACAGCATCCCCAGTATCATTGTCAATGATACCGCCTCCCGTCCTGCGTCCCGCCCAGGATCTCGTCCCGGTTCGCGGTGGTCGGAGCGCAGATGGGGCGGTCTGAGAAGTAAGAAGTCGGGCGAGTTCGATCGAGATGACGATGCTCCCCCTGTACCGCCGATTCAAGCACCGTTCAATGGCATTGCTCTGGATATCCCGAACTCGGCTCTCGATGGTCTGGGACCGCAATCGATGCGTTTCTCCAAGCGCGGAAGTCTTATCAAGGAGGAATCGAAACGCCAATTACAACAGCAAATTGAACAAGAGGAAGCAAGACGACGAGAGGCGGCACAACAAACTCAGGATGGGGACAATCAGCAACAACGGGGACCTGATGACAGAGAACCGGCGTCACCTGATGTGGCCTCGTCGGAACAAAATAGCACAGAGCCGGAGACCATCGAGACGCCATCGAGGCGGTCAAAGCCCGTCTCGACCCTCCGAGTCAGGCACAGCGCCATGGCAAGCAGAGCCATCTCTGCGGACGAAGATATGTTGTCGCGACGGGTACGGCTGATGTATGAGAAGGGCGAAGAAAATGTGACAGACTCAGAAGTAGCGAAATCCATGGCCATGGAGAATGGCATCTTGTGGGAAGATACCCCGACCAGTATGGAGACCTCTCGTCTTTCTGGACCCAGTATGTCAGTGGATACCAAAAGTGTGGTGTCGTCTCTCGGTCCAGAGAATGGTCCAGCAATTAAAAGAGAGGCTCACGAGTTAGCTGGAGGCATTGAGTACTGGCAGAATATCAAGGCCGGAGATGTCGATCGATACGGTTTCATCCGGTCACCGACGTCCAACTCCAACGAGGGCATTGACCCCAGTCCGATCCAGCGTGTCTCTACCAGCCTACTTATGGCTTCTGAGACGCCGCGACGGAAACATTCCATCCGTCCACCCTCAGCCATTGGAGGAAATCGTCCCTTTTCAGGCCTCACAGGCCGCTCCCCGACGCGGAAGATGTCTGAGCCTTCCATACGGCCAACCTCTTCTCACAGCATGTATAGTACGACCATGATGCGACGATCAACCTCGCGGTTTCGTCGGGCCGCCAACCATCTGCCACACAATCGCGACCGCCGCGTCAAAGATGAGGCGAGCGATATGCTCACCCACCCGACAGCTCCTCTGAACCCGGGTGAGAAACAGGACGCAGCTGCCGCCCGCGCGGCGAGAAAGAAAGAGTGGGAAAGGGAAGATAAATGGACAAAGATGGCCCGCCCTATGCGGAGCGGAGATGGCGGTGGCATGACATTCGAGTTTGACACGACAAGCTCCAAGCTGATTGAGCGGACATGGAAAGGCATCCCCGACCGATGGCGAGCGACCGCGTGGTACGCCTTTTTGAAATCCAGCGCCAGAATGCACAGTGATAGCCCTTCGGAAGAGGAGCTAATTGAAGCGTTCAATGAATTTCAATTGGTTTCATCGCCCGATGATGTCCAGATCGATATAGACGTTCCGAGAACCATCACCAGTCACATCATGTTCCGGCGACGGTATCGCGGAGGCCAACGACTATTGTTCCGAGTACTTCATGCGATGTCCTTGTACTTCCCAGACACGGGATACGTGCAGGGCATGGCTGCCCTGGCTGCGACTCTACTCGCCTACTACGACGAAGAACATGCATTTATCATGCTCGTGCGACTTTGGCAATTACGGGGGTTGGAGCGTCTGTACCAGTCCGGCTTCTCAGGCCTCATGGAGGCCTTGGGGGATTTTGAACGAGAGTGGCTAGAAAAAGGAGAGGTGGCTGCTAAGCTGGTGAGTGAAACGACATCTTCCTATATATCTCGATACACAGGGCTCTAATCAACATACAGAATGAACTTGGAATTCCTCCTACGGCATACGGCACGCGGTGGTACCTGACCCTTTTCAACTACTCCATCCCATTCCCCGCCCAACTCCGCGTTTGGGACGTCTTCATGCTCCTTGGTGATGCCGACGACCTCACGGCACCCGGCTCTTCAGGCAAAGGCAGCAAAAAGGACGCACCCACCAGTGCCTTTGGCAACGGACTGGATGTCCTCCACGCCACCTCCGCCGCCCTGATCGACGGCATGCGCGACATCATCCTCGAATCGGACTTTGAGAACGCTATGAAAGTCCTCACCAGCTGGGTTCCTATCAAGGACATCGAGCTATTCATGCGTGTCGCCAAAGCCGAGTGGAAAGTGCACCGTCGCAAAAAGACCTCTTAGTGACTTTGCAGCAGCAGCAAAGCAAATAATCAAGTGACGTGATGTGACGACCTCTATCTACGGCGCGGACTAGATCCGCAGATTCACTTCGATAATACATACAGCACAAACCCTACCTTATAATATACTTAACCACTCGATCCTCACCCCCTCCACATCATACCTACCCAGTTTTACGATTCGACCCGACGAATTCTTGATGAATGAACAAAAGTCGTTTTGTTTCTTTCATTTTATAATACAGTTATTCTTCTTTCTTCGACATTGCTACTTACTTCTCTTTACATTTTTATTTTATGGATTCTACTTCTCTTTGACGGCTCTCACATCACGATACCAATCACTCACTACCTCGTTCGATGACAGCAATCAACAACCCTTGTCTGTTTGTTTGTTTGTCCGTCTCTCGAACTACGAATGGATCTCATACATACAACATACATACATACATACGTACTCGCTCGGTCTACATACATACACAACTTACACAGATACATACGCGCACCCTCACTTTATCGATAATACATACATACATACCTTACCTTTCTTCGGCTCTTCTCTAAAGAAGACCCAATGTGTCTAGGCATATGCCTGTCACCTGAACACGCTCCGTGTCCAGATACAGATACACAAACACGATGGATACACACACCCATCCACCATACATACATATACACCCCGACCCAGTCGTGAACTTTCATTTCCATTATCAATTTCCTTATCCTGTCTATCACTCTACCTATCCATACATCTGCTGCCCTTCCCTTTGATATTTCCTTACTGTCTGTCTGTCTCTGTCATCTGCTTCAGTTTTTCTTACTGCACTGCACACTACCCGACCACCTCCTATATACTAGGGACCAAACCAACTACGTACTTAATACCTTGTTGTTGACTCTGATACCCCTTTTATTCTTATTTTGTTTCTATCGTTATCGATTTTTTTTTTCTTTCCTTTGCTGTCTGTCTGTATGCCTGTCTTGTCTCATCTTGCGTTTTACTTCGTGGTCTATCTTTGACGTTGTTCATGTCTTGTCTGTGTTTCATCGAACTTGTCAGGTGGTAACCGCCACAGTTATTGTCGTGCGGGGATCCAATCCTGACTGTCTATGCATCTATCTATCTATCTATCTATCTATCTATCTACCCTAGTCTTGCCTATGTAGCTAGCTAGCTAGTTCCTCGTCTACTAGAGTCTCATCTGTAACCATAACTAGTTGACTGTATCAGATCATAATAGAATCTCGGCAACATATCTCCAGCACGTCTCCACCAAAGCAACATGCCGATTGTGTTCCGTAAACCCACAAATCCACACTCTATAAAAAGCTAATCACGCGCATTGTGGTATCAACATATTTCCCCCCAGGACTTTTGGTCAGTCCCATCAGCCCAGCTGCAGGACAACAGAGCTTAGAATGCACCAGAATCCTGGTGACCGCCGCGATCCAGTCGAGGGTAACTCATATATCAATATGGTATACGAAAAGAATTGAAAACGAATAACATAGGAGAATCGCAACGAAGAATGGTATCTGCAGCAAATCCAAAAACGCTTGAATCAAGAGAAGGAATTTCTGAAAGTACAGAATAACTGTGATGGACAACCTTCCCTGCAATTGCTAACATGCATCTGGCGGATGCGAAAGGCAGTGGCTCTAAATGCAAGACGTCACTTGTCTGCACTGATAAGTGTGGCATCAGAGACAGCAATAAGCCCCATTATAACCACATTCATCCTAGTGTCCCGAGGCCGGATTATGCTCTTGGGACAGTTGCAAAGCTTTTGCTGTTGGTGAGCGGGCAGGACTGCTGCGAGGATCGTGATAAGAGGCTGCTTCGCTTCGCTGTACCCGAACTATATGGGGCGAGGTGGCATGTCCTGCAGAAGTATTGTTCTCTTCATAACGGTCCTCATTATCAGCTCGATCACGCTGATTTGATCTAGCATCATCCACAATCATGCGTTCTGAAGAGTGGGTCGGGCTAGTACCTCGACTGCGGTGCTCACGTTTTACATCTTCCGCCGGTGTCTGGTACGGAGCAGATGCATCACTCGATCTTGGGAGAGAGTGATGGTGATGCGTTGGCGGTGCTGCTTGCTCGGTCTGATATTCCTGGGCCGGAGACCCTGGCTGAGATGTCTGCGAAGAGCCAGGGAAGGATTCCGGGGGACGAGACGATGGCAATGGCGCTGGATGGTGTGCCCCATGGGCCTTCCTCTTCCGTCCGGGAGAGACATTGGAGTCCACATGCCGAGATCCTTGTACGGCACCCGGTGATTCCTGCCTACCTCTTCCCGATTGCGCATGTCCTGCCGTCTGACCTGGAGGGACCCAGTGGTGGAAGTATAGGGATGGAGGGGACTGGCGAGACGAAGAATCTGACTTGCCCCGCGGAGGCTGAGTTGACGGGATGGACGAACCTGGGGCATAGTGCACGTTGCTGAGATTAATGGGCGGTTGGAGCTGTGACTCCCCAGGGTTCATGCGAGGGATAGCTGCAACAGCAAAGCGTGGATCAGCGGGGCCATTGGATACTGACGGACGACCCAGCGGTTGCGGGGTAGGAGAGGCTCCAACAGTATGCAATGGCTGAGATAGCAGAACTCCCGGAGGGGGCACAGTCTGAGGGTGCACCGGTGGAGCAACATATGCATTTGAGGGAATGGTACGGGAGTCTTGGCGGACATGTGTAGGCCTGCGCTGGGCATGGGGATGTGCATGAGACATGACAGGCATCTGCGGAGCAGGACCGCGAGGTGCAGAGGGTTGAGCTAGGTATTGTTGAGTAAGTTCGAGCATGGATGCCGGCAGACCGCCAGGACTGATGCCGGCGAAGATGAGCGGGATCATCTGAGGTGGGACACCGGCCTGCAAGGAATCACGAAGCATGCTTTGTTCGACCCTCCGCTGTTCGAGTCGCAAGGTCTCTTGGCGCGTCTTCTCTTCTTCCTGCTTCCTCCGATCTTCCTCCGCTTTGGCCTGGAGCCATTGTCGCATGGAGTCATCCGAGGACTGCCATTGGCCCGGGGGCGGCGGGAGTGGCTGGTTCATCGCAGAGCCAGACACATTGGCAAAGCCCACATTGGGAGGCGGTAAGGTTAACGAGGCAGGAGGCGGCAATCCTGAGCGCGAGGGGTCCATGGAGCGGTCCGCAGAGGAGCTTGTTGAGGGTGCGGTGACCGCTGCTGGGAGGTCAGGCACGGGGGGCGGGGATGACCGTGGGGTTGGAACGGACTGGCGAACAATGGAGTACTCATGAGGACCTTTAACTCCGTTCTGGGAGGCAGGCTTCAGTGTAAGCAGCATGATTCTTCTGGGGTTTGCATCCGGCTCAATTGAGCTGGAATATGGGGTGGAGAGCGGTCAAGAAGCCCGATTTTCAGATGGACGTAGAGAGAGAGAAAACAATAGACAGCATAAAGTAGATGCGGAGATAGATAGGCAGAAAGATAACGAGGGGATCACCGCTCCACACGACAAGATGATCGACAAGAATATACATGAAAGAAATTGGACATCAATTAAGTCAGGAGGGACCAAGAGGGACGGGGAGGGCACGAAATGAAAGGATGCACAGAGGCATCTTCTTTCCTGGGAGGGTAGTGGAAGTTGTAGAAGGGAACAAGTAGTAGATGGAAGTAGACGGAGTACTAGTAGTTGGTTTCATGCACACGGGGACTGGCAGCTGGAAACTAAACGGGAGAGAGTGTGTGTCTAGCAGCCCACACAAGAGCAATTACTCGAGTGAACAGTTGGCAAGTAGTACGGACAATGGACAGAAAACAAGATGGCAAAGAAGATGAATCCCAAGAGAAGAGAAGAGAAAAGAAAGAGCGACAGAAAAGGGAAGGAACTGGAAAGCATCGTAATTGCCCAAACAGGGCAGCACCCAAAAGAGGAAAGACACACTTACCCAATCGGGACAGGTCCCCGCGATACACTAGTCTGGATCGGGAATTGACAGCCTGAGGATGCAAGGCCAGCCAAGGGGGAAAAGAAAAGAGAAGAAGAGGAAAAAGTATCTCAGAAGGGCGAGTAAAAGAGTAAAAAAAAGCACTGACAGTTTTTAAAACCAAGCAAATACTATGTTATCTCCCCATTGATCCCTCCCCCTCCCCCCCCCTTTGACTAGTTTATATATCTACCGCGATCTCATCCCTCCCCAAGTGGAGATTCACTTGCGTAGACAGGAATCGGGGGCGTTGGGTGATGACGACGAACGGGAGTGCGCGACTCGTCATGCTTTTAGGGATCCATTTCCCATTTCGATTTCGGGCCCTACTGTTTTGTTTCTAACTGGAAAAAATAATAAAATAACTAGTAGTAATCTCCCCAACGTAATGAATCTAGCCAGCTGTGATTGATTATTCATTGATTGGATTAATTTCATTCCCACAATCTACCATCTACCAGGCCTACTTACCTATCTATGAATTTATTCTGTAACCATGTCTACCTACTAGATAGAAAGTAGTCGTCAACAGAAGGGAAAAAAGAGTGGACCTAGTGGGTGGAAGCTTGCCCCAAAGGCATGGAATGGGATGGATATGGCATGGCACGACCCTTTTGGGGCTGACTGTCAGTAAGTCTAGAACTAGACTAACTCACTAACTCACTAACTTACTTACCAACTAACTAGTTTCTAGTTCATACTAACCTAGAAGAAGAAGATTAGATATCATTTGCCCGCCCTCTTGCGTTTCATCTCCCGAGCTCCCATTAGGGAAACATTTCTGCTCATCATCATCTTCTTCGCTTGTGGGCTTGGCGGGGTCTTTATCTCTGACGCTCGTCACTTGCTACCTGCTGTTTCTACTATCTTTTCTTTTTTTGTTTTCCGCTTTCTTGTGGATTCACGGTATTTGTTCTTTACTTAGATTCTTTCCCTTTCTTCATCGCGGGGGAACATGCTACGTAACACAAACAATGTATCGACGTACACCAGCCAGCCAGTACAGGTAGGAGGGGAAATCTATCAGTTCCGGCTAAGTTCCAAACATGCTCACCAGATCAGGGAAGTAATAAATAAAAGCTATATATACTAGAAATGCAATCCCAGGGTATCCAGTTCCGCATCCCCCTGTTTCCTCATGCCCTTCAGCTGTCCCGGTCGAACCGACTCAGCACCTCCGGAGGTACCGTCGGTATATACTTGCGCGCGCGTTCGCGGTTCGTGCCGCCCCAGCCCGCCCCGTAACTAATCAGCATATCTGTGCTCGTGGGTAGCGAGAAGGGGAGCGTGAGGGACGGGTCCAGGAATACGTTGTTACTGCGCTCATCCATCCACGCCGACGGGCCTGGGTGCGGAGACGCTACGCTCGAGCCAGGCGAGGCTACGGACGCTCGCGTGGATGGGGATCCGGCCGTCTCTGAAGCTGTTGAGGCCGGAGGGGTCTGTGGACGTCCATCGGTAGATCCTGCCTCGGGTGCCGTGGTGTTTTGCTTGGGTGCCTGGAGCTTCGCTTGCTCTCGGAACAGCAGCCCCGGATCGCGCTGTAGCTCAATCAAGAACTTCATAGCCGGCTTGGTCAGTCCCTTCTCCCCGACCTCGGGCCGATACGACTTGACTGCATGCAAGAGTTGCGCCGGGGTGAGTTGCTGCAGCTGGAGCAGAGTCGTAACAAGTGACTCAAAATCGTCCCCAAGTGACGAGAAACATTGAAGCCACTGTAAGAGTTGAATGACTGGCGCCAAATGCCGGCGCGCGGATTCCATCGTGCTCTCGCCCGTGCTACTCGTCGATCCATTCTCATAATGTTCGGGTTGGCGGTTATTGTTTCGCGCCCAATCCTCCAGGGTCGACACATTCATGCGAATCTGCATCGCCTTGGTTCGGGCCAGGTAGCGCTTGGTCGACATAATGCGGTTGAAGGTCTCAGCTCCAAGCCAGTACAGGAGCTGGGAGATAATCTGTGTAGTGATGACGGAGTGCACGTCGTAGAGATCCAGGACAAAGAGCGTAGAGGAGAGGAGAGAAGTGATATTGCGCGGAGACACTTGTGCGCGCCGTCTGGGGGATGGAGGTCGGAAGCGCTTCTCCGCCGGTTCGGGCGTTTTCTTGGATTTGGAGCGGAAGAGCTTCCACTCGTTTTGGAAGTGAACGTCCTCTAGTCCCGGGATGGTCTCATGGTCCAGCATGGCGGCGTCGAGCACTTTGTTCATGCGGCGCTCGGCGTCGCGGATGATGAGAATGAAGATTTCATTGATCAGCTCGGCCAAGTGTAGCTGGAATTCCACTGTAGATTCCACCAGCCCGCCATCTTTCTTCAAGTAATGTAGCAACAACGTCGCATTTGACATCCAGAAAGCCAGGATCGTCATGTCCCACTGATGGCGCTCAACGACATCGTTGATCTTCTCGGTCGCGGAAACGAGCAGCTTAGCAAGCAATTCGGGACTAGCATGGTAGTGCGCATATCGAGCACTGAGAAAGAGGAGGTTCGCGGGGACGGGTTTCTGCGAGGGAGAGCGTTGCGGTGTCATGTTGGTGATGATTATGTTGAGGATTCGTTCGAGCTCGCTCTCCTGGAAGACGAACATCTGGTCGTTCAGACACCGATCCCACACGAATTCTTGCTGTTCTTCTTCAAGCTCCTCTTCATCTAACGACTGTAATTGACGAACGAATGACCTGGTTAGCTGCTACTTTGGGACACTCTTTTCAACTCTATCACTCACGTCAAACTTCTCGTCGAGCCCCAGGCTCGATAGATCCACCTCAAGATTGATGGCGCTCTCCTCCATCATCATGCGCCGCTTCAATTCATTCTCAGCAATCTCCTCCTCGAAGCGACCGTGTCCAAACCCGGAATCATAGAAATCGTCTTCGATCGCACTCGGCCCAAAATGGTAACCATTTTCATGCAGATACTCTGAAATCTCGCTACCAGGCTGTGCAAAGTCGAACGCCGTCCCGCCCGACGAGGACTTGATATCCGGAGACGCACCGTGGTCGAGAAGGATCTTCGCGATTGTCTTGTGTCTGTTTGTCATGGCCCACATCAAGGCACTCCACTGATTCCGGTCCTGCTGATCGATATGGGAGCCTGCATCGAGAAGTGCTGAGACAACATCTTGGTGTCCCTACGCCGAGGATTAGTTTCGCGCATATCCAAACAGACAGATGAGTTGAAGAGCAGCACGTACGAAGCAACTAGCATAGATCAAAGGCACTGTCCCCTCTTCATCTGGCTTATTCACATCGACATATTCAGCTGCATGGCCTTGCACTAATCTCCGAACACGTTCCACGTCGCCGTTACTAGCCGCCATATTCAAGCTGCGCTGTAGAATATCTTTCTTCTCTGCGTCCGATAGCTTCTCATCCGTTGCGATGGCTTCCTCGTCCGCACCTAGCGACTCGACTTCCCGGTGAGCAGCCTGCGCAGCAAGCATCTCCATCAACCGGGCATCACTGTCTTCCAGCCGGGCAGTGGTTGTGGATTCGTTATCGTCGTCGGTCGATGCGGCCAGTCCGCGCCCGTACTGGGCCTGTAGGTTATGTTCTTCGTCATGGGTGTGGTCGTCGAGGGCTAGACTGAAGCTCAGTGGTTTTGCGGCCACGGGTGTGGTGAGGAATTGGGATTGGCCTGCGGAGCGGAAACGGATCAGCCACCTGTTACAATTCTCGTTATATTCGATCTCACGGGGACTTCTGGGTTTGTCGGATCGTGTATTCCTCCGAGTGTCCAGAAAAAGCAAGTATAGTCGCTCGTACTAGGGTCCTCTTTCATGCGCGACAAGTAAGGAGAGGCGGTAACGCACCTTGCCAGGCATCATACATCTCCGTTTCGGGCTGGATGAGAGGGATAGAACGACGGTCGTCCAAGGACTTAGGGAGATCGTCCGGCAGTCCTGCAGCGTGTAAGGACTTGCGTGCCGCGCTGCGGTCGGCCAGATCGGGGTCGCTGCGGTCGAGGTCGTCCGACGCCCCGCGGGGGGATCCGGAGGCGTCCATGGCGGGTGGGAAGTGCGATAACGTCAGGAACCAACAAAGAAGGGAGGGGAGGGAGTCGGGCAAAGAAGCTCTGGCTCTCGCTCCATGGAGGAGGAAATAACACGGGACACACACGGGAGGGTCAGCCTCCTTTGGAATAGTTTCTGTTTCCCAGGGTAAGTGGAATGGAAGGTGGGGAATAATTTGGGTGGGAGATGATGTTCAGGGAGAGAGAGAGAGAGGGAGGGAGAAAGCAAGGCGGAACGGCAGCCTGGGAGACAGAGAGGAGATTGGGATGTTCCCGGCCGATGAAACTCGCCCGCTCCACTCGCTTCAGCTGCTGTGATTTCCTTCCATCCCGTTAGTCAGGTTACAGTTTCTGCTTACTTCCAAGAGTTTCATCGTTATTTCAAAAAAAGTATTCCTTCCCCTGCCACGGGGATAACGTCGCTTCCATATCAATGCTACCACCATCCTATCATCCCTAACCATGTGGATATCGCTTCATGAACCCAAAATGCAAAAGAATAAATCCCCAAAATTATACCACCAATCCCAAAAATCCACAAAAATAACCTCCTTCGCAGACAAATGCAATGCTATTGTA